CTTTAAAAATAAGTAAATGGAAAGCAGTCAAAATAAAATCATCAGGCATACAAAAAGATTTTGCTTTAAAAAAAAAGATGAAAAGCATTTTCTGTAATGGGAGCAAATGGTTTTTATGAAAAATTTTACTTCTTATATTTAAAAAGGTAATTCTGAATAATTTTTAATTAATGGTTTCAAGATGATGAAAGAATGAAAGACAAAATTTTCTGAGAATTTTAAAAAATCTGTGGAGATGAAAACTTAAAACCTATAATGGAAGACTTGTAGGTAAGGATGGTAGATTGAAGCAAGATAATTGATTTTTTTCACCTCCAAGTCCTTGGAAATTAACTAAAAATAGGGAAGAGAGGGTCAGAGACTCATAAACACCAACCACTCAAGGAAAGTGGGACAACTGTCAAAAAAGGTAATGAGCAAAACATGGAGATTTGAGTCTGAGGCAGTCCAGAATGGCCCTTAACCCTTCCCTCACCTCTCAGAGGCCTAGTGAAGCAAGAAGGAGAGTGAACCCAATCCTGAGAATCCTCACAAATGCTCTCCAATTTGTAACAAGTATACTGTAGCAACAAGTCAGTAGTCTTTGAAAAAATTAAGCAGAAGCCCTGGAAGTGGATGTTCCATTCATGTCACCATGGAGCCTAGCAGAGGTTGGGAGGGCCAAAGGACTTGCCATCTTCTAGGACCTGTTGCTAAGTTGAAGGACTCAGCTAGCATCCACAGAAGCAGTGCTTACCCGCGGCCATGAGGATGGTCCTAATAAAGGACGTGTGTACTCACTTCCCACAGCTACTGTTACTAGTTACTCACAAGTTTAGCGGCTTAAAACAACCCAGAGCTATTATATTATAGTTCTAGAGATCAGAAGTTGAACCTGTGTCTTCTTGAGTTAAAATCAAGGTGTCTTCAGAACTGTTCTGTTCAAAGATAAACTGAGGCATATTAAAATTTTAAGAACTTATTTGAGTAAAAAATTGATTCAAATGGGAAGTATCAAAACAGAAGTGGTTAGAAGCACTCCAGTGAAGGCAGCTGGGGTGAAACCTGTATAGAGAAGAGGCAGAAGCAGAAAAAGGAAATTATTTGATTGGTTTTAGCTTAAGACCTAGTTGACTATTTGTGTTTCGGTATCCTAGGTTTCTATTTCACAATCTTGAGGCATTTACAGGCTTAGATTTTGGTTTACTTAGGTAGGCTGCCATGGCCTTAGAGACACCTCAGTCTAATGGCCTCCTTGTTTAATGAATTTAACAGTTTCTTCTGGAGTCTCCAGAGGGTGCTCTGTTTATTGCATCTTTTCCTGTGTCTAAAGGCCACCTGCAGTTCTTGGCTTCTGGGCCCTTCATTTTCAGAGCACATCACCACCACTTCTCATGTTTTCTTGAATGATTGTTTGCTTGAAGACCATCCTGGCATCTCCCCCTTTCCTTACACACGTCTTACTGCATGAGAAGAGACATCTTACTGGTGAGTCTGGGAGAAATAGCTGCATGGTGAATTCCCTTCTGGAGTCTCTTTCAGATCTGACTAAATGTGAGGTGCAGGCCCTGTGTCCGTTTTCACGTGGAAACTCATGAATGAACTCTGTTCCAGCTAAGAGGAATCCTATAGTTTGGGACTTTTCAATTCATGGGAGACATATCAAGATAATTTTGTGGCTGCAAATTCAAGCCACATTCCCCAATTTATCAAAAAAAAAAAAGATTTTAAAAAATCTGCTGAGAAAACTCCTATGTCTTATTTTTCAACTGGTTCTGAACCTGGCCTCCTAAAATCCCTGGTTTCCAGCTTAGCTAGAAATCTTAAATAGACAAACAAGGACTGACACTATAGAGTCTGAACTATTATGCAATACTTGAGGCCTTTGGGGTATCCACATGAGGCACTTTAGGACTTCATGTTTGTGGGTTCGTGGGTTTTCACATTTGACAGTCTGAAAGAATTTATAAGTTGACAAGTTTTTACAGCTGTGTGGCTGTTTATGACTGGAGAAGGCCAACACAGCCTTCAAAAGTATATTTGGGTTTATGGTTCTTTATGGTGGACTTGGATGTGATCTAGGTCATTGTAACTTTGGCCTAAACTGATTCAGTTTAGCTTCAGCCTGGCTGAAATAAGGATTAAATTATTGGGAAACAGGTCTTATAGTCCCATGGAAATTTTACCTCAAAATAGGTAGAACTTCAAAATATGAGTGTTTATGCTTTAAAGAGCAATTTTAATTGTCTTACTTGATTTATTGGTGAGGTTAGTAACCATGATTTTAAATTAGAAAGATAGTGAGATCAGTTCTATGTGGGCTATGGCACACTCATATATTAATTTCTGGCCAGGCCTAGTTAGGAAGAACCAGAGAAGCCCCTTTGTGTTGGACGTGGTCCTAGGACCAAGAGAGGTAGAGGTCAATGGCCTAGACTCTTGGAATCACATAGTTTGGAGGCTCAAGTGATCTTAAGTTGGCTTCATTTTGTTATCTGTGTTAATTATGACTGTGGTTTGAGATCTGGCTTATACCTCAAGATGGTGGATGATTTTATTCACGTGTATGCTCAGATGCTCAGTCGTGTCCATCTCTTTGCAACCTCATAGGCTGTAGCCCACCAGGCTCCTCTGTCCATGATATATTCCAGCAAGAATACTGGGAGTGGGATGCCATTTCCTCCTCCAGAGGATATTCCCAACTCAGGGATCAAACTTGTGTCTCTTATGTCTCTTGCATTGACAGGTGTATTCTTTACTACTAGCACCATGTGGGAAGCCCAATTTTATTCATGAACCAATCAAAAGGAATAGAAGCTCTTTTTATACAGAGATTATGGCATCTTTCTTGGGTTGAGGAAAAGAAATATTTCAGTGAAATTACTGCAAACCTAAAGATTAAGAAATAAATAGAAAAAGCCTATATCTACAATACCATCTTTGGGAATAAAGTTTGCTTAGAAAATAAAGAAGGTATTGTTTGAAAAGACTAGATGTGGATCCAGGCTTTAGGTCCCTGTCAATATACAATTTGGATGTTTTCTTAGTAAAAGAATACAAAATTTATATACAAAACTAATGACTGAAAACTTTTAACTTTAAGTGGGATTCAACTTATCAGTCTTTGCCTTTACATTTTTTAATGTCTTTTTTGAGAAATCCTTACCAAATCCTAAGGTCATGAAGATATTCTTTATATAATCTTAGGGATGACTAATTCTACTTCCTGCATTTGATTTTTAATCAGCAGGTATTTATTTTTCTGTCTGGTACAGGGTAGGAGTTTGATTTCATTTTTCCTCACTTGGCAGTCATTCTAGCCTCATTTGTTTAAAAGAATCTTTCTTTTCCCTCTTTGCTCTGCAGTGCCCCCCAGTCAGTCCTCGCACAGATCAGCTTCCAGACTTTAGAGGTCTATTCATTCTAAAGATCTATTTCTTCACCCCCAAACAAATATCACACTAACTGAACTACTACAGCTTTGGAATAAATCTTGTTATGCAGTAGAGCAAGTCCTCCTATCTCATTCATCTTCAAGACTATCTGATATTTCTTCATGATTCAATGGAGAAAGAACACAATACATAGGCAAGATTCTGAGACTGAGAGCAGAAAGTAAGCTCAGGTGAAGAGTCAAACCCTAGCCCCAAAGGATGCCTTTCTTCAGAAATAATTAATGTTAATAGGAACATTTTTTAAAATAAATGTTGAGGCAGAGTAGGAGGAAGTTGTGAGAGTTCATGTCCTATGGTTTCACACTTCATGACCAAACTTCCTATCCACCGACTCATTTCTGCTCCCATCATTTCAGGGAAGAAATTTCCTTTTCAAAGGTCACCAGTGAACTGATAAAATCCTATAGCCCTTTTTTGGTAATCTTCCTTCTTGTGTGTGTGTGGGCTAAGGTGCTTCAGTCATATCTGACTCTTTGTGACCCTATGGACTGTGGCCTGCCAGGCTCCTCTGTCATGGGGACTCTCCAGGCAAGAATACTGGAGTGGGTTATCATGCCCTCCTCCAGGGGATCTTCCCAACCCAGGGATCAAACCCATGTCTCTTTTGTCTTCTGCACTGGCAGACAGGTTCTTTACAACTAGCGCCACCTGGGAAGACCCCATCCTTCTTGATCTTCCTGCTAAAACTGATACTACAGACCACTCCTTTCACCATTTTTTTTTCTTAAACAGATAGACTGAGATATAACTCACATAAACAGTTCATCCAAAGCATTTAAAGCAATGGCTTTTAATATATTCACAGAGTTGTGCACTGATCATCACAATTTGTTGCTGCATGGGCTTTTCTCTAGTTGCAGCGAGCAGGGGCTACTCTCTAGTAGCAGTGCAAGGGCTGCTCGTTGTGGTGGCTTCTCTTGTGTGGAGCACTGGTCCTAAGGCATGTGAACTGAGAGTTGCAGCATGTGGGTTCAATAGTTGCAGCTCCCAGGCTCTAGAGCACAGGCTCAGTAGTTGTGACACACAGGCTTAGCTGCTTCACTGCATATGGAATCTTCCCAGACCAGGGATCAAACTTGTGTCTCCTCCATTGGCAAGCAGATTCTTTACCATGAGCCACCAGGGAAGCCCCCACAGTTCATTTTAGAACATGTCATTACCCCGAAAAGAAACCCACTGACCTTAGTTGTCACCCTATAATTCCCCCACCTGCCCCTCTGTCATAGGCAATGACTAATCTACTTTCTGCCTCTATGGATTTGTCTATCTGGGATATTTTATATAAATAGAATCTCAAATGTAGTCCTTTGTGACTGGCTTATCTAACTTAGCATAATGTTTTCAAGGTTTATCCATATTGTAATGTGTTTCAGAACTTCATTACTTTTTTTTTTTGGTTTTGAACCTTTAATGAGAAAAAATATATATAATATCGAGCTCAAAAACACTGTGTGTGGTGTGTCACTGGGTCAAGGGTTAGGGATACACAGGATAGGACTAACAAACAAGATAATCTGTAAACAAAGATTCACACAACCAGAGTGAAAAACCGGTGCCTGGCACAGTTTATGTCTCAGTTTCCTCATCACTCAACAGCATATTGGGGATCCCACGGCTAATGGGGAACAGACGTCCTGACTCTAGGCATTGCAGGGTGCCCTCCAAGACCTCCACCTCTAGCAGCACGTGGTGCATCTTTCTCAGAAATTCCTCCTTATGCTCATATCCCTGAATCGGCTCTTTAGGCACCTCGACAAGATGCAGTGTGTCCACAGCCTCCAGAAGCGCCGCCCACTCCACTTTGGGTATCATACGAGCTATGAAGTCGGGGTTGAACTCCACAGGGTTGCTGCGGACCTCCGTGGCCTGGAGACGCAGGGGGAAGCCACGGGGCACCACCCGCCGCACGTGCGAGCTCACCAGGTTGTGGGTGAGCAGCCTCATGTCTACGCTGCGCGCTCCCGCACAGCCGGAACCGGAAGGCAGAACTTCATTACTTTTTATGGTTAAATAATATTCCATTGTATGGATTTACCACACCTGTTTATCCATTCATTAGTTAATGCACATTTGAGTTGTTTCTACTTTACAAGTTATTATGAATAATGTTGCTTTCCTTTTTAAAACTCTCCTTCTTTTGGCTTTGATATCACTTATGTCATTTTATTTTTAATAGTTTTCTGTTACCTTTTGAATTAAAAAGGTAAGAAGGAAGGAGAGAGAGAAAGAGAGAGGAAGGAAAGAAGGAAAGGAAAGGAGAAAGGAAGGGAGGGAGGGAGGGAAGGAGAAACGAAGGACCAGCTCGATGTTCAGTAATCTCCAAGATATCAATTTGCTTTTCTGTTTCTATCTCCTAAGGGCTTCCCTGGTAGCTCAGTGATAAAGAATCAACCTGCCAATGCAGGTGACATGAATTTGATCCCTGATCTGGGAAGATCCCCTGGAGAAGGAAATGGCAGCCCACTCCAGTATTCTTGCCTGGGAAATCCCATGGACAGAAGGGCTTGGCAGGCTAAAGTTCATGAGATTTCAAAGGGCTGGACACAACTTAGCAATTGAACAGCAACAACAACAGTCTATCATCTATCTCATCTCTTCATCTAGAGGCAAACTATAGCCAGTGATTTCAAGCCTGGATTTTTAGGTATTTTTTTGTTTATTCATTCCTGCCAAAGCCACCCTTCCCCATATTTCAAGAAACAGAAAACTTCTATCAAATCAAGTTTCATCTCAAATGCCACCAAAAGCTTTTCCAAAACTCTTCTAAACTTTTAGTGCTTTATTTTTGCCGCTATCATGTCACATACTTTACTCTAAAACTGTTTATGTATTCACTCTCTTCTCAACCAAACGTAGTCCTAGAGGACAGGTACTATATCTTATCCCTATCAAAGTTAGTCTTTGAGGGCAGGTACTATGTCTTATGGGCTTCCCGGGTGGTGCTGGTGGTAAAGAACCTGCCTCCCAGTGAGGGTTTGATCATTAGGTTGGGAAGATCCCATGGAGTAGGAAATGGCCACCCCCTCCAGTATTCTTGCCTCGAGAATCCCATGGACAGAGGAATCTAGTGGGCTACAGTTCATAGAGTCACAAGAGTGGGACACGACTGAAGTGACTTGGCACGCACGCTGTCTTATCTTGGTATGTTTGTAGCACCTCCCAAACTCGACCTATTCAAAGTGGTGGTACAATAAATACTTATTTGTGAAACTACTTGAGTGGAACCATGTGAATTGACTCAACATTTCAAAAGAACATCTAGATAGTTGAGGGAGAATTATTTGGAGATTCTGAGTTATCCCAAATCAAAATCTTTAGTTATCTTTAGTTTAAGGCATGAACACAGAGAAGATGATTGTTGTCTTCTGAGTAATTCCTATCATATTCTATTTGAGACAATGACTCACTGTTTTAAATATACTTGACTCAATACTAATTCTAACTAAATATCTGTGTATTTGAAACAGATAGTGAGTGACTTTAAAAAAATAGCTTATTCACTAAAGTTAGAGGCATCATAGTTTCCAAAACAATACTAGATCATAGTCTTTAAACACACACACACACACCAAAAAACTCAAAACAACACAGCCACATCCCACAGCAACATAAGTTAAGGGAGTTCTATAGTCAACCAAATGGAACTGCCACCCAGGTCATGATGTACCTGGGTTTGAGGCAAAGATTTCTAAGATGGGTTTTAAAATAGTTAAACATACATCATTAGTCATCCTCAAAAGACTGTTAACTCTCGCACCACTTATTAGTGTTCTTATCTATAAAATTTGGACATGAATGTAGTCTAGTCTTAGGAAATCAATTTACAACCAATTTAAAGAAAATGTGGGAGATAGAGGAACAAGTTAAAAAACACCATGAATCCAGAACAGCTGAATCCAGAGCATAAACCATTCCATGATACAAATAACATGTTTATTTGTTTTTAATAAATAGATGCCATAAAGTAAAACAACAATAAAGCAATTGGAGACTGTTTTAAAATAAACTTAAGATACACAACAAAGGCAATATGTGGGCCTTGTTTGGATCCTTATTTCAATGAATTGACTGTAGATAAAATCAAAAGCATCTGCATATCAACTGGGTTATAAATGATATTAAGGAATCATTCAATTTTGTTGTGGATAATAATGTAATAATGATAAGCCTGAGATGCACAATAAAGTATTATATGTTATATAACATAATGTGTGGGTTTTGCTTTAAAATATCCAGGAACAAAAAGTGTTGAGAGGAAGGTAAAGTGAGTTTGACAAATTGTTGACACACGTTGAGCAGTAGGTAATGGACATGTTAGGTTTGTTAGAATTCTTCTTCTTGTGTATTTGTTTGAAAATTTCCATTATAAATTTTCTTTAAAAGTTACAAATAGGACAGATTTGGATTTAAGCAAAATATGTCATATACTTTCTATGGGTAAAGCCCTGTGTAAGGCTTAACACTTTTATAAACTATACCTTACATAATTCTCAGTATACTCCTGATGCAAATGGGAACTTGTGTGCACACTTCAAGAGTGGAATTTCTGTTTCCCCCACTCCTGTGGAATTCCTGTAATCAAACCCCACTGGCCTTTAAAGCCAGATTCTCTGGGGGCTCAGACTCCTATTGCCAGACCCTCAGGCTGGGGAGCCTGACGTGAGGCTCAGGACTTTCACTCCTGTAGCAGAACTTCTGTGGTATAATTATTTTCCAGTTTGTGAATTGCCTACCAGGCATGTACAGGATTTGATTTTATCATGATTGTGCCCCTCCTACTGTCTCATTATGGCTTCTTCTTTGTCTTTGGGTGTAGGGTATTTTTTGGTAGGTTCCAGTGGGGGTTTTTTGTTGTTGTTGTTGATGGTTATTCAGCTGTTAGTGGTGATTTTGGTGTTTTCATAAGAAGGGGTGAGTTCGTCTTTCTACTCTGCCATCTTGCTGACCAACTGCTCCCTTTTCTTTCTATTCAGGCCCTCTATTGATTGCCTGGAAAAGGCCTTGTTATAGCTATTTTCAAGTTTTAACTTTATTTTCAAGTTTATCAAAAATTTTTGCAGTTAATCCACAGAAAATGTTCTAATCAACATTGGCATTTCCCAGCAGATCCACTTTCTGGGTCCCACAGGGTTCTGTGTTGCAAATATTCTGTTTTTACATATTCTCATATTACATATAGGCATAGCGACCCCTGGCTGATTGATGATTGGTTGCACAGGGGACCCTCGGGTGGTTTTATTTCTCATGTACCTTTGCCAAGAATTCAGCAAGCCAGTTGAAAGCCCAAGAGGGTTTTACAAGCTACCATTTTTCAACTAAGTGTCTATATATGTCTCCTACTACCTGGGACAATATCCTTGGGAAATTGTAGGGATTTACATAACTCTAGTGAGGAACCACAGCCTCTACCCAGTAGACATGTCAATATCAACTAAATAATCACATGAAGGGCTGAATTGTGTCCCCCACAAATTAAAGTTTTAAAGCTAGCCCACCTCCCTCAGAATGTAGCCAGTTTTTGGAGATAAGGCCTCTAAAGGAAGTGATTAAGTTAAAACTGACAACTTGATCTGAACTTCTGGCCTCCAGAATTGTTTGAAAAATAAATAAATTTCTGTTGTGTGAGCCCCTCAGTCTGTGATACTTTCCTATGGCATCTCTAGTAAACTAGTGCAAGATATCACTTAGTTTGTTAAGCTATCATAATGACCAAAGATAGAAAGAGATTTTTCAAGTACCAGACAATTGGAACTCAAATTTTGGCTCAAAAATGGAACAGTTAGGGAAAAACAAAAACAGCTACACACATATCCACATGTTTTGTTGTTGTTGTTATTGTTGTTGTCCAGTCACAAAGCTGTGTCTGACTCTTTGTGACCCCATGGACTGCAGCATGCCAGGTTCCCTATCTTTTACTATCTTCTAGAGTTTGCTCAAATTCATGTCCGTTGAGTCGATGATGTTGTCTAACCATCTTATCCTCTTCCACCCCCTTCTCTTTTAGCCTTTGATCTTTCCCAGCATCAGGGTCTTTTCCAATGAGTCAGCTCTTCTCATCAGGTGGCCAAAGTATTGAAGCTTTAGCTTCAGCATAAGTCCTTCCAATGAATATTCTGGGTTAATTTCCTTTAGGATTGACTAGTTTGATCTTTTGCAGTCCAAGGGACTCTCAAGAGTCTTCTCCAGCACCACAATTCAAAAGCATCAATTCTTCACTACTCAGCCTTCTTTTTGGTCCAGCTCTCATATACTTACATGACTAATGGAAAAACCATAGCTTTGACTATACAGGTCTTTGTCGGCAAAGTGATGTCTTTGCTTTTTAATACATTATAATACACAAAAATGTGTGTTGTTAAAATGACATACTGATTTCATAATTATTTCTTGATTGCCTTTAGGTTCCTGAAACTGTGGTAATGATAATGGTAATGAAAAGTCTAATGTATGCTAAAGTTGCTTCAGTTGTGTCTGACCCTTTGTGAACCTATGGACTGTAGCCCGCCAGGTTTCTCTGTCCATGGAATTCTCCAGGCAATAATACTGAAGTGGGTTGCCATGCCCTCCTCCAGGGGATCTTCCCAACCCAGGGATCAAATTCACTTCTCATTGTGTCTCTTGCATTGGCAGGTAGGTTCTTTACCACTAGCACCACCTGTGGATCTGTAATGCTTACTTAGTATTTAGAATGTTTCAGGCAATGTTTTAAGTACTTAATCTATGTTAAGCATTTAATACTAACAACAAACTCACAAGATAGACACTGTTATTACCTCTATTTCAACAGTGAAGGAACTAAGACCCAGAGAGGTTGAATAATTGATTGAGATCACAGAACTCACAAGAGGCCAAGTTAGGATCTGAATCCAAATAGTTGTCCAGAATCTGAATTTTTAAGCACTAGGACTCACTGCCAGACTGACAATGTGATGAAGAGTGACTGA